TTTGTTTACAAATGGCACGTCAGTTTGACAGCTTAAACTAGGTATGGTCGCAGAAAAGTGGCGCTGGTGTACTTGATCGGTTGAGTTAATCAGCCATCTGGCGTGATCCTATGACATGATGGTCGTTGGCAGGGTTGCCATATGAAAATAAGCAGTGAAGTTGATGGTCAAGGTTTATGAAGAAACGTGTATTTCCACGAGGGGCTTTTGTGTAAGTTTCTTGGAAAGCGAAGACGTGTATACATGATATTTAAAACCCGTTTTAACCTGATCCATCTTTAGTACTTTCAAACTAATTACTGTGAAAAGTAAGTAAAACAAATTGCATTCAGCTGACGTTATTATTTCATCGCCAGCTGAACGAATTGATAACGAAGAGTGAATAAGCCAGTTATCAAATAATTCCTGACTAAATCAGTTACTACTGTGTTTTCCTCAACATCTGTCTTTCCAGTCTTAACTCCTACATATATAGTTTTCATCATCAATATAAAAAAATATGTTGAATTAATATATTTTAATATCGGGACGTCTATTTTGGGTCTCACTTAAACGAGTCGTCTGAGGAGAACCGGGAAAAACAGTTTTGCTATATTAAAGGGTTAGCTATTTAGGTTATACAAAATAATATACGATACACATAAGGATATTGTCTAAAGAATGTGCTAATGTGTTACAAGATAGGATGTAGGTACTTTATCCGATCATATAAAAACCTGAAAATAGGCTAAAATCTAAAACGAATTATTTGAGAATAACTTGTCTAACTTTGTACATAATTTTTATATGGAGTGCTAAATTTTGGTTTCCAACTGAAACCCAATAAATTATTAAATTAAATTCACATTTATCCCAAAATTTGCAAATTTTGCAGCGCTTTGACGACACGCCGCGCCGACTGTTGCCCCGTCAGTCGCCATCGGGTGCTTGTCGAAATCGGATCTGTGTCATATTTTCTCCGCCTGTTATTAATTTCTTCATATTAATTTACAGCCCCCCCAATTAATTTGCGTTCTCCCACACCTTACCTCCTAAAATCTAGGCTCGCGACAAAATACCTTAAATGAAATCTCGGTTGACGATGGTGATATTACTAAATTTGTATCCTACGGTTGCCATGAAGAAATTGCTATTTATCAACAACGCCGCCTGATGTACGGACAACGGCACATCAGACTACACATTATTGTTCCAAAATCGCCTCCATTGCAACGAAACAAGATACGTCAATGTGTAGCTAGATGTGCTGGCGTGGTGTACATTAATTTATTTATAGTTGTTGTAATTTTGTAATGTGCAATAACGAATATGTCATTCATTCATTCACTTTAAAAAGGTATTTTTTTTTTAATTATCTGGAATATAGTGTCGCAAAATTAAATCAACACAAGTTGTGTCCTTTTGTAAATTATTAATGCTACAATCGTCGGATATAAATAAAGTGTTTAAAACATCAAATGACCCGGTTATCCTCTAAAAATAAACATTGTAAACACAAATTGACTTTGGTTATTTTTAATTTGAACATTTTTTTTCTTTAGTTAACGTTTTGGTAGCAGTAGAGTACTGCCACCTTACCTATTTCTGCCGCCAAGCAGGAATATCAGCATTACCGTGTTCCGGTTTTGAAGGGTAAGGGTGCTGGTGAAATTACAGGCACATGAGACTTCTTCAACTGATGTCTCAAGGTGACAGGCGCCGTGGCGGTGCGCCTCAGGTCTTTGCGATTTAAAGCTCTGAGTGGCACTGTAACTGTTGTAGACAGGCGTGTAGCTTACCATCAGCACGACTTGTTCTTCCCGTCACTTGACATTAAAAAAAAGTACTATTGTTAATGTTTTTTTAATCATTTCACTAATCTGATTTTTACAAAACACCATCATCATTTCAGCCAAAAGATGTCCACTGCTGAACACGGACCTCGTCGTAACTGAATATACTTTAACGTTTAATCGAAATCACAAGACGATTGAAGTCATACTTTTTTCAAATTGTAGTTGAACTATACGTATACTACATAGATTTTAAGACTTTCGTGGTTATTCACTAAATG